GTCATTAAAAAGCATGTGGCACCTTCCCCCCAACTCCCTCTCACTCCTGCTTTTGCCATGTGACATGCAAGCTCCTGCATTGCCTTCTGCCATGAACAAAATCTCCCTGAAGCTCCCCCAGCAGCCAAGTGATGTCAGCACTATGCTTCCTGTATAGCCTACAGAACCACAAGCCAAAGAAACCCCTTTTCTTTATAAATTACCCAGTCTTGGGGATTTCTTTACAGCAATGCAAGAACACCGTCTTTAAACATATCTGTAATGTTACTTGGAAACATTGTTATAATGTAATATTAGTATTTGACCATAAACCATGTTCAATACCATCTTCCTTTTACATAAACCTTAAGATGGATTTTCTTGGAACCTTCTTTTTTTTTTTTTTTAATAAGACGGAGTCTAACTCTGTCGCCCAGGCTGGAGGGGAGTGGTGCAATCTCTGCTCACTGCAACCTCCACCTCTCAGATTCAAGTGATTTTCCTGCCTCAGCCTCCCAAATAGCTGGGATTACAGGCACGCACCACCATGCCTGGCTAATTTTTTTATTTTTTATTTTTGGTAGAGATAAGGTTTCTTTATGTTGGCCAGTCTGGTTTCGAACTCCTGACCTCAAGTGGTCCACCTGCCTCAGCCTCCCAAAGTGTTGGGATTACAGGCATGAGCCACCGCGCCTGGCCAGAACTTTCATTCAATAGTAATTGAGAACCTATTGAACTTTCATTCAATAGTAATTGAGAACCTATTATGACCTGGTTGTCTGCATAAACTGATGTTTGAAGATTTTCCACTTCTCTTTATTTTGTGTAGGTACTGTCCCCAGCTCAGAGTGTTGGAATCATGGAGATTCACAATCAGACAGGGATGGCTTGAAAGTGAATAGATGAAAGTTAGTTAATAACTTGAGCTCACTGATTTGTGTTTTTTAAAAAAATAATGCATTAGAGAATTTTCACCAAGTCGTTCTTAGGTTACAAGTAGTTATCTGTACCGCTGAACAAATAATCAAAATTATATCCATAATGTGAGCCTCAAGAAGGAGCTTCATCAGCGCAGGGAAAGAAGTCAGGTTTTAATGGTATTGATGTGTGAGCAGGACATCCTGACATTGAGGTGGCCAGAAGAAGTCGCTGGAAGGAAGGAATGGGACCACACCACCCAACATTCTGGGCATGTGATGCTCAGGTCATGTGGACTTTTCTTTTTTCTTTTTTTTTTCTTTTTTTGAGACAGGGTCTCGCTCTGTTGCCCAGGTTGCTGGAGTGTGGTGGCATGATCATGGCTCACAGTAGCCTCCAACTTCTGGGCTCAAGCAATCCTCCTACCTTAGCCTCCTGAGTGGCTGGGACTACAGGCGTGTGCCACGGTGCCCAGCCAACTTTTATCTTTTATCCAGTGGCACCAAACACACATGAGCACCTCAAAGGTGGGAAGTCAGTCATCAGTCTTCCCCTGTTGTCCCTTGCTCAAGCTGGTGTGTCCCCCTGTGTTCTATCTCCTCTCATCTGAACATGCTCCAGCTCTTCATATCTGTCTTCCTGACTGCTGCTGCTTTCTGAAGGAGGTAACCATGGGAGAAAGCAATGGACACGCTCATAAACACAGGCACACACACACACTCATATGAATGCACACGCGTGCACCCACACATTAGCACAGCCACATGCATAAATGCGCATGCACGTATGCACACAGTATCTACTGCTGGATGAAATCTACCACTGGCCACCACTTCTTCCCATAAGGTTCTGATAAGCCTATTACCAGTGAGATTGACAGTAATATACTCACTCTAATCCAGAAATCATTTGCCCTTTGAATCGTTTTCAGGGCCACATTTGAACAAATTTTCCTTTGTTTTTACTCTAAGACTTTGTCTGTGATATCTTATGGCTCCTTCATTCATAAACTCCATTTCTCAGAGGTTCCAGTGCTGCAAAAAGCTGTACTTGTAAGCATTTGAGTTGTTTTTCTCTTGTAGATACTATGCTTCTTATAATGGAGCATTTCTTTCTGTGCAGAAAACTTATGGATCAGATGTCTATTATGGCAACTTTTGTATATAAATTGGAGTTTTAAATCTACCGGGGGAAATAAAACTCTAAATAAATTCTATGATAAATTATATAGGAACTAAAGAATCCTTTTATAAGGTGAATAATAACCTCTAAATTATCTTATTTATAAATTCAAGTCAGATGCGGTGGCTCACGCCTGTAATTCCAGCACTTTGGGAGGCCGAGGCAGGTGGATCACCTGAAGTCAGGAATTCTAGACCAGCCTGGCCAACATGGTGAATCCCCATCTCTACTAAAAAACACAAAAATTAGCCGGGCGTGGTGCCGGGCACCTGTAATCCCAGCTACTCATGAGGCTGAGGCAGGAGAATTGCTTGAACATGGGAGGTGGAGGTTGCAGTGAGCCAAGATCGCACCACTGCACTCCAGCCTAGGTGACAGAGCGAGACTCCATCTCAAAAAAAAAAAAAAAAAGATCCAGATTTTTATGTATTTGTTTTTATATTTGAAACAATGCTATTAAATGCTACATAAATATCTCCATATTTGAAACAATTTTATCATGAATGCCATGGCCAAAGTACAGTATTCTTCTGTATCTTCTCTCTTACCTTTTGTCATTGATGACTGCTTTTAGGGCATTTTCTAAATCTTCAGAAGTCATTTCAAGAACATTCAGGGTCACTCCAGCTCCCTTAGTCTCCATGCGCTTTGCATTGTCCATCTGATCACCAAACAAGGGCATCATCACCATGGGAACGCCATTGCATATGCCTTCATAAATACCATGGGAACCAGCATGGGTGATAAAGGCACGGGTCATTGGGTGACCTGAGGTGCAAAGTAGGGAGGATGTCAGCAGTTACGTCTCTGAGTTTCATAGTCAGACACATCTAGGTTCTGAAAACACTCCAACGACTCAGTGTTACTCACATGCCCTTGCAGAAATTTGCAGAAGAAAATGTGAGTTGAGATACCCCAGTAGATAAAAAGCAATGTAGGATATGTTGGCCGTAATATTTTTAAGCTCAACAATCCTTTAGAATAGCTGTGCTTAAGCCATTTTCTTAATTTAACCCTCCTTTGACCTACACATCCAATCCTCCCAACATACCAAGAAGATCGTTTTGGGGTAGCCACTTAACAAGTATCGTATTGTTCGCAAGATTCGATGGTGGGGTTCCAGTGTACCGCCACAGGACCTTCGAGGGGCAAAAAGAACAGAATGCAAAGAAAGAACATAATATGATTAGAAAACAAATCGGCTATACTAATTAGAAAAGGGGGGTCCTCTGAAGGAACATAACCTTTAACAGAGTGGGAGGCTCAGCACCTATGAAGGCTTCTGAGGACTGGCAACTTTCAGCATCTTGTTTTGGAGGTTTAGTTACAAGGGAGTATGCACTACTTGAATTTGTGACAATTTATCAAGCTGTGCACTTAGGATTTTTTTCACTTTCCTGCACTTCAAGGGAAAGTTTGCTTAATAAAACAAGTGGATGCAGAAGTATAAGAGCAAAAATATAAGACATAAATTCAATATCCTAACCAACAGTTTTTTTGGAGAAATACTCCTATTTAATATGAAGAAACAATATCCCATTTATTTTATTTTTAAATAAATTCTCCCTAATATACTTTTGAGTCTCTTAGAGAAAATGAGACTTCCGAGTGTGGTGGATGATAGTTTAACAGAGTATTTGAGAGTCAAATTGAAAACAATGACAACAACCACCACCACAACAACAACAAAAAACCCTTTGGATTAATAGTTGGGAAGTGGCAGGGAAAAGCCAAATTTAAAGTTCCAACTTAGAGAATTAATCTGGAAGCTGGAAGTCTGGGGTTGGAGCTCCTGTGGAAATAGATGTGAGGCCGTAGTATAGAATCTTCTTACTGTCTGGGGGATTTTGCCCAAAGCATCAGCAATGGCCATAGCTTTCTTCTCTGGAATTTCTGCGACCATTGATCCCAAAGAGAAAACCACAATTCCATGTTCTCCAGAAGCATTAATGTAGGCTTCAAATTCCTAGAGCCAGAAGAAAAATTTTCAGTTAGTTTTTTCTCATATTCTTTGACAACTATATATGGTAAGTTATGAATTAGATCTCTTCCTCTTAAGAATATGATTAAAGGCATGTGTGTTTGAGATAGAGTAAAAAGTTATTAATATGTAAGTTTTATAGCATTTTCCTCTCCTTTACTTCCTTCTAAAGGAGGAAGGGTTCTTGCTTACAGAACTATCCTTGAGATGCAAAATTCAGTTAATGTGCTAATTTTCCAAAAGCAAAGCACAGGTACATGCACACACATGCACACACCTATACATACATACCGTGATAATTCCACTTCAAGGACACAGAGCAAGGCATCAGTGATACAGAAGGGAAAAGCTGGGAAGGGCATGGTCCCTTTAAATGATGTGGAAGTAGGGAAGGGACGTTCTGGGTAAAAGAGGGTGTGGTCCCTGGTGAGGGCTCCACCCCCAGACCTGTGCCCACAGACCTAGGTGAGGACAGGTATTTTTGTTTTACTGCCTAAATGTTGCATTTCCCAAAACCACCCTGGCCTGCCACGCCCTCACCATGTGCCTACAAAAACCCCAAGACCCTAGCAGGCAGACACACACGCGGCTGGACATCGGGAGGAGCACATCAGCGGAGGGACACAAGGACGGCTGGACGTGGAGAAGAACTCACCAACAGGCACTGGCAGGCCACCGACCAGCAGAACAATGTGGAGTTTGGCTGGGGCAGTCGGAGGAGAGCCCAGGCCACTGAGCCTGGGCCACCGAGGGGTCCGACTCCAGGGGAAAACCTTCCCATTCCATCCCCTTCTGGCTTCCTCCATCTGCTGAAAACTACGTCCACTCAATAAATCCTTGCACTCATTCTCCAAGCCCACGTGTGATTCGATTCTTCTGGTACACCAAGGCAAGCCCCCAGGACACAGAAAGCCCTCTGTCCTTGCAACAAGGTAGAGGGTGTAATTGAGCTGGTTAACACAAGCCGCCTACAGAGAGCAAAACTAAAAGAACACTGTAACACATGCCCACTGGGGCTTCAGGAGCTGTAAACATCCACCTCTAGACACTGCCTGTGAGGTCAGAGCCCCACAACCTGCCCATCTGTATGCTCCCCTAGAGGTCTGAGCAGTGGGGCACTGAGAAAGTGAGTGTCAGGGGGACAAGGAAAGTCTTCCTGTTTCATCAGCATGGCAATTATTTTCCCACTGTAGATTTCAGTGGTCCAATGAATCCCGCAAAAGTCTCTCAAATGGCTTTATGGGTTTATTTATTGTTATTATTATTTACTTTAAGTTCTGGGATACATATGCCATGGTGGTTTGCTGCACCTATGCTGTCCTCTAAGTTCCTCCCCTCACCCCCCAAACCCCCAAGAGGCTCTGGCATGTGATGTTCCCCTCCCTGTGTCTGTGCATTCTCATTGTTCAACTCCCACTTATGAGTGAGAACATGCGGTGTTTGATTTTCTGTTCCTGTGTAAGTTTGCTGAGGATGATGGCTTGCAGCTTTGTCTTTGCAAAGAACATGATCTCGTTCCTTTTCATGGCTGCATAGTATTCTACGTTATATACGTACCACATTTTCTTTATCTAATCTATCATTGATGGGCATCTGGGTTGGTTCCATGACTTTGTTATTGTGAATAGTGCTGCAATAAACAAATATGTGCAAATGTCTTTATAGTAGAATGATTTCTATTTCTTTGGGTATATACCCAGTAATAATGGGATCGCTGAGTCTATGGTTTTACGTTTCTAAAGAATACTGAGGGTACTAATAAGGTTGTGTGATGTGGCAGGGCTTGCCCAGAATTGAGGGGTTCCCTGGGACATGTGACTTTCAGTGCTAAAATCTGAACAGTCCTGAGAAAGCCAGGACACTGTTCACCCTGGATGTGAGTCACAGGAGACCTCTGACAGGGCTCAGCAAACGTGATTTGCACAGTAGGACTCCTGCCAAGCCTGATTTGGAACATGACCAGGAAAGCCCCAGACACTGACCATCCTTCCCCCAAGGTGACCCCCTCTCCCTGCCACTCTCACCAGCCCCAGGCCCTCATGAGTTCTCTGGCTCTTAAGGGCCTTGTCTTGGCCTTTTCCCTGGGGGTCATCTAAAAGGTCAGGGAGGACAGAGTCATCCTCCCCACCACCATGCTGCATTTTTGGTTTGTAGCAAGAACACCCTGAGGATGGTTTTTCTGAACTCCTTCCTCCCTAGGGTCTGCCCCACATCTCTCCCTTCTCTCTCCCTCTTTCTTGGGGAGAGACAGCTCATTTCCAAGTGCTCTTCAAGCTCTTTCTTCTGAGCGATGGTAAATTCTTCTTAGCGATGCTAAATGGCTTACTCAAATTTCCTAAGACCTTTGCTTTTTACGAAACCCACTCTTACACTGAAGCTCATCTGGAAAGGGCCGAGTCTAAGTTCTCCTCCAGGCACACCCTCCCATCCCACTCAGCAATCAGCAGGATGTGATTCACACATAATTGAACCCACATAAAAGTCCATAAACGTCTGAAGTTAAATAGCAGGAGATCACGAAAGTTTAAATGGCACAAAAGTCCATCTAGAGATTCACGCAGGGCAAACTGCAGAGAAGTTGTCATCATGGCCAACTCCTACCTCAGCCAGCTATTATGAGGCTCAATAAAGGTGAAGTCCATCCCCTACTTGGCAAAGCTTCCCTTAAACTTCGCCCTGACTTCACAGTTACTGGAATGACCAAAGAGTAAAGCAACATACTAACTGAAAATAACACTCTAATCCCCCACCATTGATTCCCTTCAAAAAAAAAGGTGAGATCCCCCTGAATGAGAGAACTTCCCTGCTCTGATGAGACTTCCCCAGCCAAAATCAGACATTTAACATAACTCCTAAACTTTACTAGAATTTTGTATTTTTAGTTTAGGCCTTTAATTGGATTTTCCCTTCCCAAATGCATTTCGTTTTTCCAGAATTCTTCTTTAGCACTTAGACACCATATGGGGCACCTGTGACTTCACCATCACGCATTCCCAGTAACCCACGTGTATCTCAACCTTTCCTGCTCCCAAGCTTTCCTCTCCTGGCCATCTCAAAGCCTCTGTCCTCACTAATCTTCCGTTCAGTTATTTTTCTCAGATCCAACATTGTGATTGTCTGTGAACCATTGCCATCTCACCCTGGCAGGGGAGCAACATCTTGGAATTCCTGAGTTTCATTCCTTTTCTCCCAATGTTGTTCCACTATCTCTTTTCCTTCAGACACACCAAAGACACGCCAATGCCAGGTTGTACTTTCTCTATGGACTTCTTTGTGCAATAAAAGTTTTATCTTTATTCTTAAAGTTCAGGAGTTTTATCAAGACTATTGAGAATAGGACTATCAACACAAGAGGAATGGTAGTGCAGAGTGGCATTTTTAGTTAACAAAGGAAGAAAGAGAAAATAAAAATAGTAACTTGACCAACCAGTAAAAATCTGGAAAAGGGAGAATGGCAAAGTCAACTAAACGTAAAGTAAACTGAGAGAGTTACAATCAAATCTATTAATTGTTAGATTCAAATGGGCAAAATGCAGTTATTAAAGCAACTGCCTGACTGGATTAAAAATCCCAGTTCCATGTTGCTTAAAAAGGAAGAAAGCTTGAAGACAAAGGAGTACTAAAGATGTACTAGGGAAATGTAAACAAAAATAATCCAGAAGTGGTAATATTAATATCCAAAAAGTGGAATTTCAGATTAAAACATTCAACAAGACAAAGAAGGTTACTAACAGGTACAATTTACAAGATATTTTCACACCTAAGCCTTACTGCACCAAACAAGGCAACAAACAATATGTAATCAACACAATTCACCACTTAGACATTGATGGTTATATCAGTAAATGCCAGAAAGGCAGCTGATAAAGTTTGGTGCCTCTCCTACAAACACCCTCACATAAAGAAGGAAATTATCTAAATCAATAAAGACGATTTACCACAAAACAATGGCTAACGCAATGCAAAATAATGAAATGATAATCAATTTCCACTAAAATAGCAGCAAGATAGGAATCTTTCCTATTGCCAGAATTATTCAACTGTTTTTACAGATTCTAATAAATTCAATAACCCTGATACTTGGCATGGAATTTAGAACAGAAGAAACCAAAATTTCTTTATCAGCAAATGACTGCCTGTGTTTTTTATTATGAAAATCAATATTTTGATGAGACGGCTGAGTAGTGAGTAGATAATCAGCTAGAGATAGAAATGGAAAAAACACACACACACACACACACATTCACACACACACAAAAAAACCCTGTAAAATACTTAAGAAAAGATGAATGAGAAAGAAACAGAACAAATGTTTTTTAAACTACAAAATATCTTATCTTTTTAAAGGAAGTGTTTGAAGTCACAACAACAAAACTCCGGGAATACAAGTTGTAACGCTCCTCTGTGGGGAACTAGACTCGATCCATAGCAGAATACACTGTAGTACACAAGTACCACGAAATACTATTTCATAGTTTAAAAAGTAATAGCATTTAAAACTGGAGTAATACCCATGACATATTGGTAAGTGGGCAGTGGGGATACACTGTTACTCTATTTTGTAGAAAAGGCAACCAAAAAATGATACATGTTTGTGGATGGATAGATAGATAGATAGATGATAGATAGAGATAGATAGATAGATAGATAGATAGATAGATAGATAGATAGATAGATAGATAGATAGATATGTAGTAGCTGGAGTACAAAGAACTAAAAAGAGCTATTGTGGATTACTCTCTACCCAGTGACTAGACCTCAGTTGGCACCTTTCTTCTCACTCATTTAGTACTTAGCACATATTTGATGGGTGCCTATTCCGTGCCTTAGGCGCTGATATTTATGGAGCGCCAAACACATGCAGACCCATTGGCAGGTGTTGAGGGTGCAGCATACAGTGGATGTGATTAATGCAAAGTCACACATGTCCCCACGGGGCTCATGACGTGAAGCGGACAATCAACAATTATTTAAGAGAAATGACT